TTTGCATTACCTGTATAGGAGACTTGAAAAATATTAATAGTTGGATCATATGCATCAGTATATCTTGATGATTGTGTAAAGCCGGTGGGATAGACACCAATTACATTAGCTAGTGTAGCATTTGGACATTGAACCTTGATTCGAATGAGCACTGTAATATTTTTACCTGGCTCAACAAAAATACATTCATCAGCAGATACATCACCAATATAAATTGGTTTTAAAGAACATGTTACATTTGAATCCCAAACATTGAAAATAAATTGAATCGGTACACGTGAGAGAGGGGTGGTACTTGTTTCATTTTCAAAATCTAGTATAGTGAATGCCATAGCATAAAAACCAATCGTAGCTGGCACAAAATGAAGTATGCAACTTGTCTCATTGAGAAATGTCGAAGCCGGTAAAGTAAGTGCAGATCGACATACACCGCCACATTCTTGACTTGAATTCGACCAAACACACGTATATCGATCAAAATCATTATCAGCAACATTTATTTTAATATCATAAATAAGATAACGACGAAGTCTAATAACCGGTAACATAGTAACAATAGGTGCTTGATTATATCGTCCACTCGGTCGTATATAAGTGTTAATTTCTGTTGCTACAGACCATACTCCTCCACCAGTAACTAATGAGAACCATGCTGAATTATTAAATATTGCTCGAAATCGATAATTTGGTGGAACACGGAAAGTAAATCGTCCTTCACCACTAACATAACTTTCAATTTGATTATATCCAGTACATGGAACAGTCACTGAATTAATTGTACTAACATTTGGTGGACAAGACGAAGGACAAATAATATTTCCCGAACCAATCATGTAATTTCCAGCAGATATCTGAGCATTCGTACATGGCCACCATGAATAATTCCATGCATGACGTTGAAGTATTTCGACAACGAGTGGATTCGATGTTGAGTTGGTGATGCGCCATGTGATCATTGATCCACGAAAATGAGAACATGATACACTAACGATCAATACGACGGAAAAAATCAGTAATACATCAATTGATTTCATTAGAAAGAATTTTAATGGTAGTCATGAAAAGTGCACATATATAATGCACTTTTTTCTTATTTTGCATAGCAAAACAAAAACAAACATATGAAACTATAGCAGATACATGCTATATAAATTTTTTTTTAATTAAAAATACGATTTGTACGATTTCAACTGCTCTTGTTAATACACATTATGTGCTACTTGATTTGTATTTTCCGTTGAGAGAATGCTCTATATAAAACTTATGAATAAAATTTGTGATTAAATTAAAAATAAACAATACAATCAATTGATTTTTGTGTAATTTTGATCAGATGTTATAGAGTCTATTCACAACACATCTGAATAATAATTTAATAGAAAAAAAAAACAAACTGCTCAGATCATTACCTTGAAGATAAACAATCTTAATCAACAATCCTTTAGTTAAATAATACATTCATATTTGATCAAAAGATTCTTTTATTAACAATATTTATCAAAATCAAAATTATATATTAACAAAAAATGTTATTATATATTGTCAATTAGGTATTTCGTTAATCACATGTTAACAAGTTATATTATCTTTTGAAATGATGGTCTGATGATACATGATAAAATATCTTAATTTGATATAAAGGCAACATGAAATACTTTACTTTTTTTTCGGATTCAATTATTCTTTGAAAAAGTTGATTGCTCTTTTGAATTACGTACAGCTTTTACTTAATAAGTTGATAAGATTTATCAAAATTTATCTTTGTATTTCATGTTTTAGTTACACATTTCTACACTTTTTCATTGATTGTATGTAATTCGTTTTTTTCTTTTGATGTCAATCACATCCATTGTTTGATCATACACTTTCTAATATCAATTTATCGAACAAAAACATCGTAAAAAACGTTCGAAGTCACATATGTAGTACTTTCAAAAGAAGAATAATTCATGTTATTTCTCTCATAAATTTTTAAATTGACTAATGAATCCGCATCTTTCTTTCATATCTAATAACATCAAAGAAAAACAATCATCTCACATTTCGAAGAGGACTAGTATCAACCTACGCCAATTTTTCAAGTATTCTTGACATTAGGAGCTCATTATTACACTCTGCTAAACCAAAATTGCACCTGCTTTTCTCCGATTACATTAATAACAAAAAAATGTAAACCAAACTTTTTTGTCTTGCATTTATGTGTGAAGCAAGTAACCATTGATAATCATGTCTTAAGTATATTGAACACAAAAAGAAAAGGGTGCAAAAAGTAACGATCGATAAGACAAATCTATCAAGTGCATGTGCATTTACATTTAGTCTCTAATAGTGCGACTAAATTTGTCAACATATGGAAGAGTTAATCCAGAGAAAAGGTTACTGAATGCTATACTATTCCTCATCTTCATGGAAGTTTTAATATCTATGTAAAAATTAGATTAAATGTTTATGAATTAATGATGGATGAATCTACTAATGATAATACAAACATTGGTATTAACAATAATACTTTAGGTAATACTAGTATAGAGTTTTGCATATGTATAAGTGCTGATATTATCTACAATGTGACAGACAGCGCCAGTTTTTTTTGGTTGGTATAACAAATGGTAAGAGAGAGAAAACAACCATAAACAACTATTCTTTCCGCTCGCATTGTACAAATGTCAGTTTCAAGGACGAAAACAACGGATGCCGCTAGAGTTTTGTAATTGTCTTAAAAAAAAACAGAAAAGATTTACTTTACAAAAGTCTTGTATTTTATTCAGTTTTTTTTTGTACATTCTTCCAAATAAGATGTGTGTAAAAATCATTTTCATATTACTTTTTTTCTTTTTTTTTTTACAGTAATAGGTATAGTATCGAGCAACCTTCTTCTTGATCACCACCTACCACGATGCTCGACATCAGCTTTCAAGAGTAGGTTACCGTCGTTTCGAACATTGTCATTATCCTCTTCATACACAGACACTTCTACTCTACAAACATCAACAAACAGCAACAACATTCATAAATCTTTTTCTTTCCAAAAACATTCAACATCTCAAGTAGACTCGAATAACGTTGGAAAGCATTTAAATCTAATGTCATCATCAATGTTTCGTATGTCATCGTTCCCAATTTCAAAGCCATCTTTCTCTAATCAAAAAAGAGAAAAAGAAAGATCTGAATTATCAACATTAAATGATAAATTTGCTGATTATGTTGAAACAGTTCGATATTTCGAAGCACACAATAAAAAGATTCAGATGGATATGAATCTTCTTAGTGAAAAACAACGTGAAAGTTGTCAAAAAACTAAAACAATATTTGAAACAGAAGTTGCACAATTAAAAGAAGTAGCTGCAAAATTATTAGAAGACAAAAATATTTCATTTACTACTGCTCAAAATGCAAAGGTTGGTATATCTTTTAATGAAGTTTTAAATTCAAAACTTCGAATGAAAAATCTAATAAATATTAATTGCTTTATAATTTTCTAATACATGTTGTATTTATCATTAAAATTTTTTTTTCGTCTTTAGAATTCCATTCTTCCATTAAAACAACAGTTAAGTCAGACTTTTAAAGAATGTGATTCATCAAAATATGAAACTGACAAAATGGAAAGACACTTATCATCTATTGATGGTGATATTCAAATGTATAATCGTCGTCTTGTTTATCAAGATAATGAGCATGCAAAATGGAAACAATTTATTAGTCATATTCAACGTCTTTTATTACAAGCGAAGAATGAAATTCATAATGAAATTTCAATACGTACATCATGTGAACAAACAGCACAACAATTACGTATTGATATAAGTAGATTACGTGAACAGCAAAAACAAAAATTAAATGATCTTCAACAATCATCATTTATTTTAAGTCCAAATGCAACAAATGAACGTGCACTTATGTTTAAAACTGATTTGGCAAATGCTATAAGAAGAATTCGTCAAGATTTTGAAAGAGATAATGATTTACAGCGTAATGAATTATATCAAAAATTTTCACAATCATATGAAGATATAATTCGACAATATTCTGAACTTGGAAGTTTGTTAATGAATGAACGTGAACAAGAACGTATTAAACAAGAAGAAGATCATATACGTTCAGAAATTCAACATACCCGAACAAATATTGATTTATTAAAACAAAAAAATTCAGAATTAAAATTACATATACGTGAATTAGAAATTAATCTTGAAATGAGCGAAAATGAAAATAAACGTATTCAAGAAGTACAACAAAATCAAATTAATCAATGGAAATTAAAACATGAAAAAATTACTAAAGATTTTGAAGATGTTACAAATAAACAAACATCATTAGAACAAGAAATTGAAACATATAGAAATTTATTAGAAGGTACTATGAAACCAGTTGTCGACAATATTACTGATGAATATAATTCGATGACTGCTAATCAAATAAAAATAGAACAACAAAAGAATTTATCAAATCGAAAACCTCTTTCGACAAGTGTTGATTCAATATTATCAACATCTTATCCTACAAATACATATGATACTAATTCATATATTTCTTTTATGACTTTGAATCTTGATAATGATCAATCAATTCATTCATCAACACCTATTATTGATAGCTCAACAACAACAACAAAATATAGAAATAATTTCGACAAAAGTAAAAGTGTTGAAGATCTATTTGCTAAAACAAATCATAATGGTCAACAGATGATGAAAAAAAATGAACAGGCAAATATTGCATCTTCAACAAATATTCAAACACCAAGACTTCTTGAAACACGATTTAAAAACTAATTTATTTTTTATTCTCTTTTTCAAATGACTATACTTTTTCTAGTGCTTTATTTTATTCTTTAGATCTCAAATTAAGTATATGAACCAAAGAAGAAAAAACTTTAGGGAATATATACTTGAAGAATGCATTAAAAATAAATTCGAACAATCAAACAAATTGATTGTTAATATAAAAGCTCATACGAATATTAGTTCTTTTTTATTTATTTAAAAAAGTAAACAATTTTCCAATTAAAGAGAATCCAATCTATTCAGATGTTACAATCAAAATCTTTTTTTCGAGCTTTCGGTTTTCATCGTTAATATAACTTTGAAGTGTACTTTGTCAAATGCCATAAAAACCAGATCTCTTCGTTTTTAATTAGTACTGATATCAAGTCCAAAATTCCTAGCAAAAAAATTTGCATTGCGATTATTCTTCGTATGTAAAATTCTCTTCATGATCATGATTTCTAAAGGAGTTGAGAGAATAGGTCATGGACCTCTACCACAGGTGAATATGGGGAAGTTTTTGATCAGTTTAATAGGAGAAGAAAGTCGTAGTAAATACAGGAAAATGTATTTTGTCATTTTTCTTGAAATCAATTTTTACACAAAAAAATTCAGAATTGTCGTCACTTTTCAAACGTCATATGCATGATAGAGATGAAACTTACAGATTTTACAAAAAAAGGTCTAGTAAAAAGAAATGTGTATAAAGAATTCTAATTCTATAAGACATATTGTAGATTAGAAAATGAAGTGATTTGTAGCTTTTGCGACTCAGATATTTTCTAGCAGGAAGTGTTTGAAAATTCGGAGTCTATGATAAATTTTGCACTACTCATCGAGACCTATTTACCCTGAAAGTATCAAATATTTCTGATGAGCTATTCTCCAGAGACCCTGAATAGAAGGGGAGTTATCCTAAGTTTTGATATATGCAAGTATTCCTTGATGTTCAACTTCATTATAATCCTTAACTTCATCATGACATTAAGAATGTAATTCATATATAACATTGGAGACGAAAGATTGTATGATGATGTAATACTAGTACCAAAAAATGGCTGTTATTGTGATTCCGGTATTCGTGCTTCTATTCATGGCATTGCAGTAGTCTCAAGCAACCTCACTACTGGATAAAAACTCTATAAAGTTCAATGCTGATACTTGATATTTTGATTACAAATAGAGCTTGGTAAACCCTGATTACAAGCAGCAAGTCGAAGTCACTAGAGTACAATGCAAAATACTTACGATGAAAACACTGTTTTTTTCCTAAAATCAAGATTCGCATGCCTTTATTGTTCCTCTTTTCCATCAACAGCTACGATCGTAAAATTTTGAAGGCAAACTTTATTAGCCGAAGAAAATGTCAAGACTAACGGCTGAATTTAGGCGGTGAATATTAATGTATTTTTCGACAATTTCCATCTACTCTCATGTGAAGATTATCCTAAAGAATACTTCATAAGTAAGACAAACTAAGACCGCTTGACACTAAAGTATTAAAGCCTAGGTACTTTTTACATCTATTGTAATCTGTTTAGTTCTAGAAAGTGAGGCAAGAAGGATTTCACATTCAATAATAGCAATTCCAAGTCCATAGATAATAATTAAAGTACAGAATGTCTCAAATCCGACGTGACAAAAAAACTATGAATATATTTTAATCAATTTCAGCGATTTATATAATTTTTTTGTAATATGGTACTATGTTCCTTGAAGTTTTAGTTTATATATATTTCAGATGATTATCTGTGCTTAGAGATATTAAAATTCAGATAGTTTCACTAATAGTGAAACTTGCCACCATGTAAATATCAGATGTAGATTGTGCTAGAAATACTTTTTAAAACTTTTTATAATAGTATTTATAAAAATGTATCATTAGTCAATGTTTTTTGAACTGCTGCAACAGTCTGCTTCATTCCATGAACAACAGCCGATCGCCTTATGACTGTATATCTTCTAATGAATCCATATCATATACATAATTTAATTTAATTTTTCCAATTATTCCACGGAAAAGGTTCGCAAGATCGTATCAAAGTTTTACAATTTTGATATTAACATTGAAGAACATCAACGATCAAGAAAATGAATTTCCTATAAACGAAGTTGCTTTTCATTTATATCATTTATTGATACAGATAAGATGAAATCCAATATATATACAACATATTTAAAGATTTGGTAGAATTCAAAATGACGACCCATAGCGAAAATAAACTTTCTACAGTGTCTTTTCAAAAACGTCGGAAATGGTAGATTTTCATATTATCAATTGATGTTAATGCCTGTGAATATTTTTTATAAACCAATTTATATGAAATAAAACTTTGAAAAACACATTATCATATTACAAAAAAGTTTGTAAATCACCCGAACTGATGAAGAGATATCCACATTTTAATTTTTATAGCGGACTTTTGAGACATCCTATATACTTTACATAGATGACAATCGATTTATACAAAACAGTAACATCTTTAGTGTCTATCAAGCGCTCTAATAACTAAGTCTATTAGTGTTATTCTCAATATTTGTGTTTATTGAAAGTTATTCAATATTATCGTCATCGTCTATTTTGATAACAACATCTTATTTGTCGACTTCTCCTTAAGTCTTTGCCATCATAATATGATGTATAGGTTCCTTTGACAATCAGTCATTGTTAATAAATGTAGTAAACATTTAGTTTGTAAACCAATCTCTATATCTTTTATAAGTACGCGAATTAATACAATCGATTAACACATTTGCCGTGATATGAAAATTGGGTTTTCATAATTCGTGAAAGGTTCCATTTCTTTATTCAAGAAAATTGTAATACTTCAAAACAATTTTTATCAACGTTTCTGTTATGAATATGAGTTGTGAACATCCCTTTATCAGTGGTAAAAGAACCAGCCTCTTCCGTCAAAATATGGCAAAGATATTCAATTTTTTCTGCGGCAAAGGAGGTTTTGGGTCACCCTATAGTGGGTCCCACTAGTGGGACCCATCGCGTCGAATGTGTTCAATTTATATCGGCAAACGATAGATACTGTGTATAAGTACATATTCAAGAAAAATATAAATATGTCACAGTGATATTAAAAAAATCAAGATAAGATAAGTGCCATGTGTGCATACAATGTGTCATCACTAGTCTATTTGTTAACAGCTGTCATCGTTTAAAATAGGGTTAATTGTAACTTGTTATAGCCTCTATATGACCATACCCTTAATATATAATAAATATCTTTTATTGCGTACGAAAAATAGAAAAGAACAAAAAAAAAAAATTAGAATTTCAACCTGAATTTATTATCAAAGGTCTATAATATTTTATACAACAACAAGAGAATGCATGGGAGTTCAACATTTAGTTTTGTAGAATAAGACAAAGAATATATAAAAGTAATTTGCAACAGATATTTTTTTTAAAGATCATAAAAAAGAAATATATTCATCCTCTAGTACTACAAAAAGGCAGAACTTCTTCATTCTACTCAATTCAAATGGCTGTTACCAACTTTATCATCATTTTACTTATAAATTCCTTTGTGAAAAATATTCATCTCATCGAAGAGACAGCTGCCGATGGATAAAGCAGCTGATACAATAGTAGCAGTCATGGCTTTTATAGTTATTAGAACTGCTACTGCAATTACTATATATAGGATTGGTATAACTTTTGATGCTCCTATAATTACAAGTGTTATCCTAGCATCTGTATATATCTTTATTATGGCTATGATGAATCTTTTAATAATAAAAAGTGCTAGTGGAATAGGCAAAAGTATAAGTGAAATTGTCAGTATATCAACTAGAATTAAAACTACCGGTGCATCAGTCTTTTAAACATCAGGAACAAAAACACCTGTTAACGAAATCACTGTTGTATCATCATGTAGTTTTTTTAAATCTTCTATAGTATTTTCGATCTTTATTATTGATATTGTTAAAATACCGATGATTAAGAAAAGTTAAACATGTTTGATTCATACGAAGCATTTTATTCTATACTACAAATTAGACATATTATCTTTTCAATTAAATGTTTACACAAAGAATATTTTTGTCGAATAGATATTCTTCACAATGAAGGCCACTAGAATTATTGTGAATATTTGTTAGATTATTCTTAGCTCTTGAACGTTCAACTAGAATAAAGTCTCAAATAATTGTAATAATGATTGATACAATGATTTATAACTTTTATCCCTTTCCAGAAAGCATAAACTGTTAATTCTAATAAATGACGCTGTATAAACTCTTTGGTTTTGTTTTAATCGCATTGAAAATAATATCCAAAACAAATGCATTTTACTTTATATCGTTTTAATGAATGTATCGAATTCATTCAAGAAGAAATGATGATATCAAATTTTTATACTTGATAAGCATACATACGTTCATAGTCGTTCGCCGGTCAAATAATAATAATCAATATCTCAATATATGCAACCTTGTTTATAAGCTTATAGGCTAAATCATAAATCATACTGCTCACATAATATTTCAAGTTGAATTGCAATTGAAACGATCGAATATGATTAAATCATTTTAGAGTTAGTTTTTCATGGCAACAAATGAACTAATGTATTAACAATTTATTATATTGTTGTATGTCAAGTTTACATCTTGTAGTTATTTGATATTTACTCATGTTCTATCAAACAGACAATAGATATTATTGATATATGTTATCGAGTGAACTTTGCGTAATGACTGTAACGTTCAAATTGAATTTCGACTAAGGTATTGATTGTGTGCATGTTTAATGGCTGTAGCATTGATATAGAAAGAAATTCTTCCTCTTTTTTCGCCTTCTATCGCTAGTTAGGCCGCCTTCTCTTACACTTTTATTTCTTTCTTCTCTCTTTGAATAAGAGAACACCAGAGTAGGTGTTTTTCTTCGTTCGATCGCCATCATCAGCTCAAGGTGTTATAGTTGACCGTACGTGTGGTTAGTGTCACTCTTTTTTTTGTATTCTATACATAAGTGACCTTAACAGCCGACAAGATTCATCGGTCACATACTTTTTTATTAATTCATAATCAATGATGGTAATGATTGACACACAACAACACGATGAATATCTGTTTTAGCTCAAAATTTCTTATCATATTCTGTCTTATATTTTAGTTTGAACTAGTCTAATAAGAAAAAACAAAAAAGGAAATGGGCACGTGCTATAGTAAACGTTCTGCTTGCTATGATTTAACTCAAAATCATCATACAACAACAATATGTGTTTTAAAGTCACCTGAAACACCACCTGCTACATTACGTCGTTTTAGTAGTTTACGTCATAGTGTAAAATCATTTTCATCCATAGCATGTCAACGTCGAAGTTTTCGTACTAAACCAATGACAATTATAAAACCAAGTTCAAAAAATAACCAACATTGGTGTATTATTAAATACAATGAAACAAAAGAAGCACTTGTTTGAGATTTTCTTTTGTTACCGGTGTGACAGATATTACTTATGATGCATATTATATCTACGTGTGTATGGTTTGAGTTTATATTACAAGTATTATTTGTTGTTCTTTTATGTTTTTTTTTCTGTGTATTCACATTAAAAATCGATAATGAAAGAAAAGTAATATCAAAAAGAAAAAGAAGGTTAAATGCGTATAAAGGATTACATATCGTTTTTTTTTGTCAAGAAAAATAATAAAGGACGGTATCCTGAGAAAATAATAAGGATTAAGTAATAGAACATCTCTCCTTTTATAATATTAGAAGATCAGTAATATGCAATTAAAAACCCTTTGCAATAAAAACTATTCAAAAAGAATAAATACATTCCTTCTTTTTTTTTTCAATATAAGGAATGTCAATGAAGACATTTATCAGTTTAAAAAAGTTTTTCAAACTCGAACAATTTTTGCATTAGTAAATGTGTCTCGTAATGATATAAGATTATGAGCTAATAATGAACCATATATATTTTCATACCATTGTGTTGATCGACCACTGAAAAAAAAATCGAAAAAAAGGTTTTCTTTTTTTCAAATTTAAATAAAACAAAAATTTACAAACCTGTAATCTACACAAGCAACTTGAGTAACTGTTGTATGACCAGGTCGTGTAGTAGATGGTTTTATATAATAATGCATATCATACGTAACACCAATACTACCCGGAAGAAAGTGATTTTGTAAATGATCAATCGATACAGCACTAATGAGTATTGCATTTGCATCAGGTACTGAACGCAATGTAACTTTTTTGGAAAAACTATTGTAAAAAAATGATTTTTTTTCTAATGAATTGATTGAAAAAAAAACAGAAAAATATTTTCTTACCGAAATTCACAATATGATCGAACAGGAACAAAATCAAGCAAATTTATAACATATTGCACTATTTCTTTATCATCATCAATTTTTTCTACTGTTCGACTTTCAGCACAATGATTATTCCATAAGTCACATTCATGTAATATTCTTTGATAAACTTGTTTTACATCTGAATTTGGAATATCAATTGAACATTTCCATGTTGGTAAATTATGTTGATTTATATCTGATGTAGAGGTTACAGATGGTTTATGTATGGATATATTAACATCATCAATATTTGTCGAAACATTTTTAAATTTTGTATTAGACAAACGCTATAAATAAAAGAAATTATTATTTAAATAAATACAACTATCGTCTATTATTTTTTTTTTTACTTGAAGAAATTCTTCACAACTTTTAGAAATATATTTCTTCATATGAAATTCACCATTACATGCATTACGAATCAGTTCATCAAGTCGTTGTGTCTTTCTTGCTGATGGCAATTTGAGTTCATTGGCGAGTGCACTTGGAACCTGAAAATGGATTAAGTTTACAATTGAATAAAAGTAAAGATAAAATGATTATTCTCATACTCGACAAAGTAGATCAACATTAAGTATCATAGTCATAAGACAATGTTCTAATAGTAATCGTTCATTTTCTTGTTGATTTGTATCAAATTTCTCTTTTCTCCATTTCCACCAAAGAATTTTTGATGATGTATGATGCATGTCATAGAAAGATTGAAAGACCGATGGAAGAAAAATTCGTGCCAAATTTCGACAAGTTATCTTTATAATAAACACAAAATAACATGTCGAATATTTATCGTTTTCATCGTCTTACTTGATTATTTCCTGATCGTATTGAAACATCAAGTAAAAAACGAAGAATTGTTTCAAGTACTTCACGACTTTCATCAGGTAACATTAAAAACATATAACGTATTGCTAATAATTGTTCTTCTTGTGTTATGCCTACAAACAAATAATTCCATAGATTCATGCCAAGTTTTTGTTTTACGATAATAAAAAAAAAAACTTTATTACATTTAAGTAAATCACATAATAAACGTGTTATTGATGGTGGTATGATACATTCAGGCAATTCACGAAAATATTGTCGAATAACATCAGCAACAACAAATGGTTGATATTCATCAAATTTAATTGTCTCTAAAAATGTTTCTCCATAATTATCATTTGTTGTTTCAATTTGTGTACGTAAATGATCGATTTTAGATTTAACACCCGGTTTACGAAATAATCCTTCACATTTACCAGCATGTATACGAATATATTGTAATGCATTTATTATTGCAATTGGAAGAATATGTCCGGTTGTTTGTTGATAAATACGTAATGGAACACCAAATACACGTTTGCCTTTCCATGTTGTAGATTTCGGAAGTTTATTTAATTTTGCAAGGGTTCTATTTCAATAAGTATGATAATAAATAAGTTACAATAGTGGACCAAAGTCTCTCGCCTTCTCTTACAAATTTCAGCCATCAAAAGCTCTGAAAGTCTGAAAACTCTTTTACATGTAATTTCTCAGGAATGTAGATTAGAGCCATTGACTTGTCGTAATCGTTGAAACAGGACGGGCATCATGATAGATGTTAGTGGATAGCATTTATATTTTCCCTTTGAACTTTATATTTCTGCAACGAAAATGTTTTAGGGATCCATCGATCGCTTATTATGTACGATTATGTTCGAGCTGCACATACTAAATAATTTCATCGGAGTCCATAAACTTTTGTTATTATAGTAGCCAAATCTCAGAAAAAGAATCTTCTTCTAAAGGAAAACAGCATAGCAATAATCGTTATATTAGTGCCGAGAGCTCAAAGACATCCAGAGACAACGATCTTGCGGCAAATTACATGATCTTTTGAGTGACGAGAGATCGTATACTGCGTTTCAGTTGCAAATAAAAATATCCAGAATTAGTCATGCATTTGATAAAAGATAACACAAAATTAAATAGACAGCGTTACCAAGTTAAAAAAAGCTTGGAGCAAAAATAGACGTCGTCCATCATAATTTTCCTGTCATTTAAGCTACTCAATCGATCTCATGTATCTGATCTACATCCTTGATTGAGGGTGTGCATACAAATTTCCAGACCTTATGCACGTATGGAAACTGAAATCTGCCGCGGAGGAGAGGAGACTTTTGTCCATTACTGTCAATAGACTTTGACATACTTACATAGTTTCATAAGTATCTACATTATCTGAATTACAATTTTCTTGAGTCATTTTTAATAACTTCGATAAAGCTTTAAGATAAAAATAATGTCAAATGAAAAAAGAAACAAAAGCTATTTATTCATTTACCTGATTCTCGTAAACGATTCATATCATTGGATAAAAGTAAATGAATATTTATTTCGTTATTATCGGTACGCATTGTTATTATTTCGATTAAATTTTTCTGTTCGATGTCTTCTCTAAAATGAAAAAGAAAGAAAACAATAGTGGTTGAATATTTCAAACTTGATTGAAATTAATTAAAAAAAAAAAAGAGAAAGAATCATTTGTATAGGGGATATTGGCCTTGTTTGTTCATACACAGAAATGAAGCCTACTCATTCATGTCTATTGAAGGTCATCCTATGAAAAGAGTAGACGAAGAAGAAAAGTTTCTGTAGGCATATAAAGTTTTCGAAAATTCAATTAATCGAAATAGAACAACAAAAAACAAGTTACTGTATACTGTAGTTATATTCTTACTGATACAATAATATTAATTCTCATGAGTATAAAAAAAGAAGGAAGAAAAAGAAAATTTGCCGTATCATTCTATGTCGACTGACGACAGATCTTTATGACGCAACTATTCCACACACACATGCCCAATCGACTAAAAGACACCATCAATACCCTGAGAGAGACAGACATAGGTTGTTATATATATATTTGTGTGTGTGCGTGCCTAACTTTTTATCAGACTGTATCGACTTACATCGTTGTCTATGCCACATTACCTTCGAATTCATCGTTGTTGACTCGCACAACAGTAATAACAAAGGAAAAAAAGATTATAATGATTGATACACAAATAGAAATGTATGCTTTATAGTTATAGAACATTTTTAATCCGAATGTACAATAAATGTATTATTCATTTTACGGTAATTGTTCTTTTTTCTGGCATCATTGAATATGAGTAACAGGAAGAAATAACCCATATTAAGAGTATTGCCTACTTCTTCTTTTTCTGACTTACATTTTTCTACGATAAACAACTCAGTTACTAATGACTAATAGAAGAGAATATTTTTGGGAAAATTTATCAAAAAGATAAACTAGAATAGCATACTCAACTAGTCTGCTTACAAGAAACTGTATAGCTGGTACTGATAGATACTTAACAAGAAATTTATTTGTCTGTCTCTATAGAATTCATGTGACTATAGATCATGTCAATAATGTATTGGAGGACGTACTGGTGACCAGTGAAGTATTTCAACATGTTGTAAAAAGAGAAAGACAACGAAGAAAAAAAAGGACAGTGAATTATAGAAGTAACAACCTTCATCTGAAGTGGTCTTGTTCTCTTTTACTTAGTGTATTTTGCTGCAGGTGATTCGTGCTTACATTTACCTCTTGATACTACAACACTCATCGATTGTGTTGTTGATGACAACTAATGTTCGAGATAGACGACTGCTGCTAGTATATGAGTAATGTTGTACTTCTCTTTTATTTATTATAAATGAGAGACAAATATTGATTTAACAGCTTCGAACATACACTGTTTAAACAGAATCATTTTGTTAATATTTCTCTTGTTTCTTTCTTTTTCGACATATGAACAATCTATTAGGTTGGATAATATATCATTGTACTTTACCAAAACAGTTAAATGATCATTATAAATGCAAATGATGTACAACATAGTTAGTTTCATCTTGATCGGATATTTGACAATAATCATATCTCAATCGCTCAACACATGCAGCGAACAATATTTATATTAGTCATAGATAAGAAGAAAAGATAGAATGATAAAAAAAAAGAAAGAGAGAAAGAAACTTACTGATTATTGATTTGTGGGCTAACATCAAGGATAACATCATCAGTTGGATTGATGATTGTTTGTTGAATAAGATTTTCATCAGATAATGAATGATTAGTTATTTGCTG